ACGTTAGTTAACGTTAAGTTAAGTTAACGTTAACGTAACGTTAAGTAAGTAAGTAAGTAAGTAAGTAGAGTAGAGAGAGAGAGAGAGAGAGAGAGAGAGAGAGAGAGGGAGGGAGAGGGAACTCTGTAGTTCTTTTACGATAACCGTAGTCCCAACTCTTTTTTTGTCCTTTACTCCTTTTTATTTTATTTTATGTTAATTTATTTTTTGGCAGGGTGGGTTGGGGCATGGTGGGCTGGGGGGAAGATTATGAAATTATCATCTAGAGAGCCTTACTGGCAACTTACTACTCATCCTTGCAGGTGCCCAAGGCTTTCCTTAACCTTCCTTTTGATGTCCATAAAAAAAGAAAATGTTAAAAAAAGAGAAAGCTCACTAGAGTCTGTAAAATTTAAATATTCAGCGACATTGGCTAGCAGCCCCGATAACTTGGCACGAGTTTTTTTTATAAATTCATATTTTTCCCTGTTCGGGCCTGGTTTGGTGCCACGATCTCGCCCTCCAGATTTGGATGATCTGGCGGCACGCGTCTCGGGTTTCGGGGGGAACCCGAGACTTTGAGATCGCTCTCTCAAGAACCTCGCTTAGGAGCAAGGGCAGGTATACCAACCGACGAGAGAGGAATTTAAGGTGGGTTCGGGACTTACTCGGGCTGGCTCGCATGGGTGCCCCCTTAGATCACGAAGAAAGCCCCCCACTTCTACATTTGGTTTGGAATCGCCTCTCTTAGCCTGTATTCTCCTTATTCTGCAATCACACACACATGGTTAATTTTACAAGCTAAGTGGGTCGAGGGACCCCACCTTGTCTTTAATGTACACAGGCGTGCACATTCAAAGGAGAAAAGAAAAGAAATGATGAGATGAGGGTTGCAAGAAGGAAGAAGAGAGAAGAAAAGAAAAGAAAGAGACATTTGACCGGGGTGACTAGCCTAACAAGTGGCTAGATTAGCATGATGATTGACCTGATGTGGTAGCAAGACGGGCACGATAACGCCGACCGGCACAACGGCAATATTACTCGACGACAAAACACCAACACCGACCAGCTTGGCATAACGGCTAGTTCGACGTGGCAGCAAGATGGACACGGTAACTTAGACCGGAACAACGCCAATACTGCTCGATGACGAGACTACCATGACAGTGCTAGACTTGTCCCTTGATCAAATGAGAGAGGGAGAAGAAGAAGAAAGAGAAAGAAGAGGGATAAGAAGAGAGAGAAAGAAGAGAGAAAAGAAGAGAGAAGAAAAGAGAGAAGAGAAGAGAGAGAATAGAGAAAGGGGTAAAAGAAGAGAGAAGAGAGAAAGAAGAGAGAGAAAAGCATGGACGACGATGGACTTTGCTGGCCATGACAGAGAAAGAGGAGAGAGAAAGTACATGGATGGGGATAGACTTTAGCCATTCGTGATAGAGAGAAGATGAGAGAAAGAGTATGGACGGTGATGGACTTCCACCTTCCATGATAGAAGCAAGAGGAGAGAGAATATAGACGGCGATGGACTTTCGCTATCCATGATAGAGAGAAGATGAGAGAGAAAGAACATGAACGACGATGGACCTCCGCCGTCCATGACAGAGGAAAGAGGAGAGAAAGAACATGGACGGCAATGGACTTCTGCCATCCATGACAGAGAAAGAGGTAGGAATGAGAAATGAATGTCATGCGCGGCGATGAGCATCACCGTGCACCACATGAGAAAGGAGAAATTTGGATAGTGGCCCAGCCCGCCACTCGGGTTAAGGCCTAGCTCGTTGTGCATATTTCCAGAATAAAGGAATACTGAGAACGTCATATCCAGCGATGAGCATCGCCGTGCACGAATGGAGGGGAGAGAGAAAAGAAATCAGAGTGAAGGTAAGAAAGACTAGGAGGAGGAAATAGGATTTTAGGAAAGAGGAAGAGGAAAGGAAAGTAGAAAGAAAAGAAAGGAAAAAAGAGAGGGCAAAAAAAAGTGAGGAGAGAAATTGGGAAAGAACCGGAGAAAAAAGAAGGAAAGAGAGATTAGGAAAGAGAAAAGAAGATTAAGGAAAGAGAAGAAGAAAGAGGTATGCACGACGCTGCCATCACCGTTTGTATCAGAGAGAGAAGAAAATAGAAAGAGAGATTTATGCACGGTGTTGCCATCGCCGTGCATGTTCAGACCAAGAGAGACAGAGAGAAAGAGCAGAGAGAGAATAAAGAAAGGAGAAGAGGAAGAAGAAGAAGAAAGAGAATAGAGAAAGGAGAAGAGGAAGAAGAAGAAGAGAGAAGAAAACGCACACAGTGTTGCCATCGCTGTGTGTGTGAGATAGAGAAAATAAAATAGAGAGAGAGAGGTTCGTGCATGGCGCTTCCATCGCCATGCACATTCAGTCAGAGAGAAACATAGAGAAAGATCAAGCAGAAGAAGAAAGAGAAGAAGAAGAAAAAGAGAGAATGGGACACAGCGCTGCCATTGCGGTGTGGGTTAAAGAAAGAGAAGGAAGAGGATTACATGCACGGCTCTGCCACAGCTATGCGTGTTCACCAAGAAAAAGAGAGAAAAGCCGAGAAAAGAAGGAAGAAAAGCGAGAGGAAGCAAGAGAAAAGAAAGAGAAAGAGACGAGAGGAGAGACAAGATAAAGATGAGAGGATAGAGAAAATTACCTTACCAAAGGGTATCGGCCCTTTTCTTCTCTCCTCTCTCTCTCTCCAAGACGCACCCACGAATTCAAAGAAGAAAGATGAACTTTATTGATCAATTGAATGCCTCAGGGGGAATCAGAGAAGAACCCTTTACAATTAGGTTTAGCATGTATTTATAGAATTTGGCCCAAACATGGGTGGATGCCCAAAAACTATCTCAATTGATGATAATTACAATTATTTTGAATTAAAATAAATTCTAAAAATGGGTGCAAAATGATTGTTTTACCCCTGCCTAACAACTCATAGAATTTCAGAACAGTCCCTGCTGTGGCTCTAGAACATTTGTGATCTTCTGTGGATGATTCGGGGTTGCTCTGATGCCCGTTTTTCAAAGAGATGGTTGTTTTCTTATAGGGATTGGCATGACGATCGATTTGATACTAACTTTGAGCTATGGATCGTAACTTAGGCCACGATCATGTGACTTGAAATTTGGATGGATCTTGAGAACTTTGGATGGATCTTGAGAACTTTGGATGGATAGTGTGGTCGTTCTTTGATGTTTCTTCGTGATTTCTTCGCTGGATCATACTAAGCATGCCATCACGATCGCGTGGCAACAAACGCAGCTCAATTTCGTGCCCAGATGAAGATTTCGCAACTTTTGAGTTATGGTAGGAATCTGAAATTCTGGGGTTGGAATTTACAGTCATTTTATTGGCTTTGTGTGTGAAATCTGACCATTTATCATGTACCTGGTTCGGACCAGAGATAGCACTAGACCTTACGCACATGATGGAACCGGTCTCGCATCGATCCGACGCGTGAGAGCCGTGATTTGGCCGCTCGAGCTAGGAGTGTCGCTGTCGATTTTCCTGCAATTTTTTTCACGGATTAGCAAATTCTCTCTAGCTTTTCTACCCGCTTGGGCGTCGTCACGGGGCGTGCTACATATCAAAACGCTCGTCTTGACAAGACGAACATGCTCACAAAACTTGAGCGTGAATCGACTCAGGACAAGTGGGATATGGCCCCCGAAAGTCATTGCCCGAGACTGTAAAAACAACCACCTTTAATTGTGATTTGATACTGGGAGGGTGCACGGGAATAGTGTGCTGCTTATCCCTTTTTGGTCTTTTACTAATAACTTTGTCCTGGTGTGTCCGATTAAGTCGAAACTTGACCCATAGGGGTTTTCGACCCTGCCGGATCCAATGGCGGTGGTCCCACAGCAATTTGACGGGTCGAAAATAGAGCTCTAGTTACGGGGTCCGTTTCAGGGTGCTAGGGATTGATTTTTCCGAAATTGTTTTTTTGTTTGCACTGCTTTAGAGATGTCGGATTGCAACGAAACTTGGCAGGTGGCGTTTTGAAGTGCTTAAGAACATTCTGACTCGTCCTGGGGCAGTTCTGAGACT